GACTAAGGACATTTAGGATAATCACTATAGTTTGTCCAAGGATACAGTTATCATATTGAACATGCAATTGATATGATAATAAAAGAAAAATTCATTAAATAAGAATATACATAGTATAATAATTGGCCCTAGGGCATAATTTCCAATAATAATTTAGTCATTTAAAATGCATAAATGCATGACATAGGCTAGTATGACCTTTCCTAACCGACAGAATGTCCCCTGACACTCTTTAACTCGCAGGTAAACCTTATACCCACTTGTACCTCTATAGGCACAAAATATAATACAAGACATGATCTAATCTACCAAACTGCCTGTGCCCCTTTCACATGAATCCTAAGCAATTGAAGTTAACTCCCTCCCAAAGCCAGCCCAACTTACTCTCTATAAGAGGGCTACCTTGGCATAGACACTCAACCTCACACTTCAGATGTCGGATTCCCTCCCCCATTAATAAGTGTCGAACACTCAATCCACTAATAACTTTAGTGCACTAAGCCCATAATACGAAAGGCAACACTGAGTACTGGCAATGTGCCATAGAATATCATAAGTCTACACCTCCTTATTAATGAACTCCTATCGAGATCATGCCTTTTACTCTTGTCTACCTTTCTCGAATATTAACCACTTTAACACTCTAAGATAGTATAACATATATTACTCCTCCCTTAAGTGGTTCTTTAACTTATTTAAGGTACCTAACCTAGTTACACTTCCTTAAGTGCAACTTTCATTATCTATAATTACAATGCATGCAAATAACCTCGTTTCCACAAAAATATTATTGTTAAATAAATATAAAACATATAGCACTATTATCCAAATAGTACCCATAAGTCCTTATAAAACATAATTAATTGTATTTAATCATTAAAATATTTAATGCATGATAGCTAATAATATTTATTCAAAAATAACTAAACAAAACAATAAGAAATATAAATTTTTCTGTTACCTCAACCTTTTGTACCAAAAGGGTTTTTCCTTATACAAAAATAAGACTTGGCTTGTCCCTTAACTTCTAAACAAATTCCGCCAATAATCCTTACAACATATAAGTGATCTATATCACTTATCATGGCAAAAAGCATAAGAGAAGGCTAAAACCCATACCACACAACTTGGGTCAATGGACCATAATCCATCCTAATGGTCTAAATTTTAAAACAACCATTCACACAATACTACTTAACCACTTAAACCATTTATTAGCCACCATTAGGTCAATTTCCAAATCATACAACTTTTAATCAATCAAAAATCTTCACTTAGCATTACCAACTTTCACAATTAGCTATTATAATAATAACCAAAGCTTAATTTAAAGCTTATTAGGTCCAAGTAGCATGATTATAACCCAATCAATATGTTTACATCATTGAAGAGCAAAACTCAATCTCTTGGGGTTTGAATTTTCATCTATTTCATCCTCCTTCATCCAATTTTCGTCCATTATAATAATAACCAAAGCTTAATTTAAAGCCTATTAGGTCCAAGTGGAATGATTATAACCCAATCAATAGGTTTAAATTATTGAAGAGCAAAACCTAATCTCTTAGGGTTTGAATTTTCATCCATTTCACCCTCCTTCATCCAATTGCTCACTCAAAGTAACAAAACACCATACAAAAACTCAAAACAACTTCCCTAAGAACCAAGAAAGCCAAAGCTTACAAGAATAAAGCTTTGGGATCAAAATTCATAATTTACCTCTTCTAAAAATTTAAGAAAACTAAGAAGGAAAGAAAAGGATTGAAGTAGGGAGCTTACCTATCTTGTAGCTGAGCTCGCAATCGCTGTAAAACTTCTTGAATCTGAGCCTAACTCTCTCTCTTCCTCCTCTCTTCTTCTCACTCTCTTGTTTGTCTCTTGTTCTTTGTTTTCCTATTTTCATTTCTACATTTTGTTTATATAAAAAAAACTGAACTAAATACTTTGGAGAAAATTATAAGAAAAGGCCTAAATCTTTTTGTTATAACACAAAAGCCCAAGGCAACTTTGATAATTTTTTTCCATAATTAAAAATCATATAAAACCAAAACCAAACTTTTGCTAAGTAGAATTTGAACTTTAGACCTTGGTCAAATTATTCTTAATTTTAAATTTATTATATCTATTTTATTTTAAATTGAATCTGGGTCTTAAAAATTTTGAGATTTACAATCACCACCACCACCACCACTACTGTTGTTGATGCTCCTGTTCTTGCTCCTACTCCTGTTGCTGGTGCTACTGCTACTACTACGACCACCGCCGCCATGACTATCACCATCACCACTACTATTGCTACTACTACTACTACTATTATATTTTTGTTCTTTTTCCCCTGTTTTTTTTTTTGGGTGGAATTGATCAACTAGAATTCCAGCTTATATTTGGTGCTTAAGAAAACTACGATATTTTTAGGAGAAATGACAGTTTATCTCAAAATATAAATTTTTTTGAAAAAATATCTCAAAATATAAATTTAATGATAGTTATTTAAAAAAAAGTTTATAAAAGATGACTTTCAATTAGAATTGTCAATAAAGGTTGGCTTGCCCTTTTCCGTAAGAGCTCAAGCCCATAAACTGGCGTATTTTAAATTGACTATGTTTTTTAAACCTGGCTCATTAATATATAGGGCTTAGGACAAGGTTCGGAATTTCGCATAACCTTTTTTAAAATTTTTTTTACTTAAATTTATAAACATGTCAATGCGTAATTTAAAGAATTGTATCATTTTCATTTATTAATTCAAAAGTAAAAATAAACTAAACAATTTCAACCATATTATTTTGCGATAATAACAATTTCAATCAAACAATTTTCAACAATTTTAATCACATGCTAACGAGAAAAAAGAAAAATATATAAGGCTTTAACCCAATCCCATTTTTAAAAGGATTATATGGATCCGGCCTAAGTCTTTTTTGTTTTTGGGTTAAAAATCTCCCTATTTTTAAGCTCGGCTCTCAATATATATATATATATATATATATTGCCTAAACGAGTGTCCCAAGGACCCAATCATTATCGATGACTCTAGTAGTGACATTGGATCATACTATTACGAATTTACAAGTATAAAAGTCTTAATTATAAAGCAAGTATTTGAATTTTATAAGTCATTTATAGTGATTTACAACTGACAATCTTATTTTTGTTTCCAAGTTTTCTCATATTTATAACTGTTACATCCAATATTTACAACGAAATAATAATTAGAATTCGATTATTTATAAAGCATTCAAAATCGATCATCTATCAGGAAAAAAATGATCTAATCTTAATTAAATTAAAATTTTGGAATTTAACTGCCACTCCTATAATTTTTCACTTTTGCACCATGAATCTTAATTTCTTGCATCAATGGTTTAAATTTTAATGATCAAATTTTTGTTCAATTATTTATTATTTAAATTATATTTTTGCCAATACTTAATAAAACAAATAGAGAATTGTTCAGGATCAAAATATATCTATTTCTAAGTTCATTGTACCTATATAAATACTCAAGATCTATACAGAACCACAAAACTATTTAAAGAATAAAATTCATCGATAAAATATTAAAAATATATTATATTATACATCATAATTTGTTACTCGTTAGCATAAAAAATTACTATATATTTAAAATGAAATTATGTTTATACTAAAATCATGTATTTTAAAATATTAAATTCACAAAACCTAAAAACTGAAAATTTCATGAATCTGTACCCAAAAAATTAACCAGTAAATCTAAAAGTTTTATTAATAAATTTGAGGGGTTGACATGCAAATATGAAAATAATAAAAATTTATTAACAAGTAAATATTATGTTTTTGTCAATGGCAAGTCAACATACACTGGTCACATTTTTTTAATTACTCTCAAGTCCTTTGAAAACTATTAGTATTTAGTAACGAGTTAAATTCATGAGATTGTCAATAAATTAATTTGCAAACATAAAACTTATAAGAATCAAAATTAATTTTTTTTGCATTGAGTAAAAGTAAATATTATGTTTTGTCAATGGCAAGTCAACATACACTGGTCACATTTTTTTAATTACTCTCAAGTCCTTTGAAAACTATTAGTATTTAGTAACGAGTTAAATTCATGAGATTGTCAATAAATTGATTTGCAAACATAAAACTTATAAGAATCAAAATTAATTTTTTTTTGCATTGAGTAAAAGTAAATATTATGTTTTGTCAATGGCAAGTCAACATACACTGGTCACATTTTTTTAATTACTCTCAAGTCCTTTGAAAACTATTAGTATTTAGTAATGAGTTAAATTCATGAGATTGTCAATAAATTAATTTGCAAACATAAAACTTATAAGAATCAAAATTAAGTTTTTTTGCATAGAGTAATGGGAATTTCTTTCGACCAAGGAGAACTAGAATTTTTAGACATTATCGAAATCTTTAATTTATTTTCATCGAAATCCAAATTTAATGAATTTTAGAAGTTAGCATGAGCTCGTCACGAGCGCAACAATTTTTTTTTTTGGGGGGGGGGGGTTCAACATGGCTTTTTTGAAATATTTCTAGCGTCTATACGTTTTTTTTTTTATAGAGCTTTATATTCATTTTTACTAAATTTCGATTAAGTACATCATTTATGGTTTAATCCTGCACACAAACTCCACCTTTGGGGATGAATATAACACAATTTTTTCAGACGGTAAAGTCCAATGTTATTTTTTTTCAAGCAGATAAGTTTTATGAAAACTCTGAAACATTATAATGCATAGACATCATTTTAATTACGATAGACCATAATAGGCAAAATAAAGTTGGATAAGTTCTGTTATTTTCTTTAAAAGTGTTATATTCTTCTTCTTAATAATAGAGAAATTTTGTAAACAAAAATTATAAATAATCAATAATCAACATAAAATCAAATGGAACTAATAATTTGAATTTCATTAATAAAATTAATGTTCAAGAAATAAAAATCATAATAGAAAAAGATAAAAAAAATTAAACTACTCTAGGAGAAAAACCAACTAGCCCCTAATATATCCATGCCTAAATTTATTTATTTAAAGGAATAAAAACATTTTCACTCTCTCCCATATTACTTTGGCAAATCAAAAGCTGTAATTGAATTTGCTGGAAGTGTAACAAGCATCTCCTTGCCGGGATTATCAAGAGGACTCATTGTTGGTACAATCTGCACAAACAAACAAATATATTTGATTTGCAATGGGTTTTTAATTTTCACAGTAATTTTCTTGAAACGGAAAAAAAAAAGGATTCAGTATTCAAAGAAATCAGATTTACCTTTCTAGGCTCATTGAAGCTATTCTCATCCATGACATTAGCCGAAGTGAGTACAATCTTTGTTGAGTCAGTGAAATCAACATTCTCATCCAAACCATTGATTTTAATATTAAGAGACGTTGAGTTATCATTAAAGTTCACAACCTACAAAAACATTTTGAGGGTCAAATTAATGAAGAAATTAAACTACTAGGTTATGTAATTAATTATATATTAATCATACTAAAACATATAGATGACCATCTAAATATTTACCTTGATTCTCAAATAATCCTTCTTAGTCTCTTCATCTTGCCAGCTAATTGCAGATGCAACAACTGATGATGGAGCTTCAAGTACTGAGTCAAGATATATTGCTCCACTTGACTTGACAAATAAATGTTGCAGCCAATAGCTTGGAATGCCATAATGTCGATAAGAATCAAACACGATTGCATCTGGTAGCCACCTGTTCATTTATAAAAATTTATAATAATAATCTCACATGCATGCATATAATAAGATAAAAAGATACAAGAATATATTACCGCTTCTCATTAGCATGGTCATTAGCATTTATAAATAGTGGCGCATAACTAACCATTTCAATTAGATCACTGCATGGAAAAGAAAAGAAAAATATTAATAAAAATTTTATCTTTGTATTAATGAAGAATAAATTGACAAATAATTAATAGTTAAAATAATAACAAACCTGTTCTTTTCTAAACCCATTAGGAAACCAGCTTCACCTAAAGCTGACAGAAGGGTTCCATTGCCAGCATCTTCTTGCCAAACTGCATATTCACTAACAAAAGCCTTTGGACCAGTACGATTTTGATAATCAAACATGTTATACTTGGAGAAGATATCCTTGGAATTTGTATAAATGTGGAAGTCATAAAAATCAGCTGGCATTTCCAAAGGTTTTTTAGTAGCATCACAGTTTGAGATGGTTTTTATATCTGGATAGTGATGCTTGATGGCCTCGTAAAACTTGAGATAGTTTCCCAAATAGTTATACTTGTCACAATCCTCATTTCCAATAGCCACATAACGTAAATCAAAAGGCTCAGGATGCCCAAGCTCAGCTCTTAATTTGCCCCACTTTGTTGAGATAGGACCTCTTGCAAACTCAATTCCATCTAAAGCTTCCTAAAAATTTAATAACAAAATATGTTATTCAACCCAATAAGAAATAAAAAATATTTATTAAAAAGTCATAGAAATTTAGAGTTATATACTTGCACAAAAGGAGCAATGTCAGACGTATTGACTTGATCATGATGACTTATACCATTGTTGAACACCCATATTGGGAGTGCATTAAGATCTTCTGCAAGCTGTTTGAGAGTAATAAAGTAAAATATTAATATATAAGAACATAATAAAAATTATAATTTAATTAAAAATTTAAAAAATACATACTTGAAGAAATTCTAAATAGCCAAAGCCATCATCGGTCCAATAACCCCACATATCATTAAAGTGACCTGGTCTTTTCTCCCACGGTCCAACGGAATCTTTCCACCTAAATGCATTCCTCAAATAATCTCCTTCAACATAACAGCCACCTAATGTATAGGAAGAGAAAAGTATAATTTTAATAAGATCATAACAATTTATTATTTTGAACAATATCATATTTATATAAAATGTTTTATTTTTGCATGCCTGGAAATCTAAGAAATCGCGGTTTCAAATCTGCAATCATTTGATAAAGATCCTTCCGAAAACCATGTCCCTACAAAAAAAAAAGAGAACAAAATGATCACGTAAAAGAAAAATGGAGTGAAAAGAATAAATAATGGTGTAATTTCATAAGACAATAAAACAAAAAATTTCAAACCTTGTGTGTGTCTAGAGGCATAGCTGAAACTTGATCTAACCAAAATGTTCCCTGTTTGGTTGTTGTTATCTGAAGACTTGAATTAAAATCCGATGCCTTGGCTTCAAGAACAAACTCTACCTTCTTCCACTTTGGAACATATTTTCTATATGAGAAAACAGAAGTAAATTGTTAAATTATATATAATTTATATTTATATTAAATATATAAGAATGAAAATCGTTTTGAAATATACCTAATGTGTTTAGAAGCTAGGTCTCTTCCATCTGCTCCCACAAATGAGACTTTCAGATCAATTGGTTTTGCTGATCGCACATAAAAAGCCACTTTATATTTTTTCCCTTGCTCAATATTCTAAAGGGATAACATATATAAAAAACAATAAATTTTCAAGTTAGAGTGATGTATTATAATAGAGAGAAAACTACATATTGAATTTAATATTAAAAAATAGAAGTCTCACCATGCCCCAAAAACCAGGGTTAGAAATACCAACAGGTATTGAAGTACTATTAAAAACATCTAATTTCACAGCAATTTCATTGCGAGGAAAAGGAGATGAACGCTCCGTAGCCACAAGAATAGTTGATTCATCACCAATAACAGACCATGGAAAGATGGTTGAAGGAACTTGAGAACCTCCAGCTTCAAAACCTTTATTCATAAATACAAATTTATAATTAATTATTCATGAAAATAAAAGTATAAAAACTAGAGAAAGAAGTTGAAGAAACTAAATTAAAGTTAAATAATTACCTCTGTTATCAACAAGCTCAGCCCATAATCCTCCAGCTCCAGCATGGTTAATTTCCTTTAAGAGTAAGAGAAGAATTAGTCATTTTGTTTAAATAATTTATGACGAAAAATATTAATCACGCAATATGTAAATTTACCTCAAAAAATATTCCGAAGAAAGTTTCAGGAATTTTTCTTCCAAACTTGGCATTCACAATCAGTGAAGGGGTGGGACTTTGAAAGTCATCACCAAAAGCTTGAAAAGCAAAGAAAAATAAAGAGAACAAAAGAGCTGCAGATAGAACCTTAGAAAATGCCATTGCTATGTAATACGTACTCAGAGTCACTTGTGCTTCTTTCTGAAGGCGCTAGGCTATTATTTATATAGAGAAGAGTTTGAGATAGGAAGGCTAAATCTCTTCAAAATCTCTAAGTTTTTGTTTGATAGATTAGATTCTTTGTTAGACTCAAACAGTTAGAGATAAATTGGAGATGGAATAATACATAAAATATAAGATTTTTTATACATAATCTAAAATAACAAAAATATTTAGAAATAAAAATTTTAAAAAAGAAAGTCATTAAAATGATCTTCTATTTTTTATATTTAAAACAAAAAATTTGCTAGGCAAAGATAAGGAGATTTAAAATGTGAGACGTAAAAAAGATGAGTGAAGTTATTCATATAAAAGAACAAACGTGCTCCCAATTTTATAATGTGATGACGTCGATATTTTATTTTTCATATAGAGAAGTTTACACTAAATCTTTTAAAATTTTCTAAGTTTTTTTCAAATATAATTTAATATTAATAGAGTCAAATAGATAATAGAAAAATCAGCCAGGCTTTAAAAAAAACAAAGATGGAGAAAAATCAGTGGTGGAATGTTCTACCAGGATATTATATTTTTTAAACAAAATAAAAAATAAAGTAACAAAATATATTAATTTTGATTAACATAATTTATATATAGGGATTATTTATATAGACAAGCAATTATATATTTTTTTAAAATGTATTTATATATTTTTCAATGTTTCAAATTATAGGAAATATTTAGATAATAAGATTTTTGGAAATAAAAATTTTTAAGTGAATCAAAAAATGAAAAAAAAGTGGATAAAAGTGCTCTAGAATAGGATATTCAAATGAAAATTTTAAAAATTTGAAACTAGAAATATCTGTTAGCCAACATGAAGAAGATTGAGAATGTGAAACATAAAAAGGTTAATTAAATTATTAGATATAAACTATGATTTGATTCAAATAATATTGAAAAAATAATAATATCAAAAGTTAGAAAAAAGAAGATATGTTCGCCGTAGAAGTGGGGATCTATTTTACCTTTTAATATTGATTATCATCAACGAAACGACTATAATTTTTTACCATGTTTGATAAATTTTATGTTTTATTTACGACAAATTATTTCTATATTAGAGTATATATTGGATCAATTTGTAGTTGATATTAAAAAATTGGGTGGATAATAAACTTATGTATTTAATGTATATTCTCCCCTTGTTATAATTGGAATGGGATATGGAAATTAATTAAAGTACATACAACATACACATACAGAATATATGATCATTTGTAATTAAGTGTATAATTTTTATGTTATAATTGAATTTATTATGTCGAATTGAATTTTTATATTACAATAAAAATAAATAATTGAATTTGATTGAGGAAATAAACTGTATTATTGATAAATGCGCTTTAAAAAAAAAAGAAAATAGTTGATAGGATATCTTCGTTAGAGCTATTTTATTTTATATATTATAGAGATATCAATAGAACCAAATCTTTTTGACAGAAAACAAATATAGAAACAAATCTTAACTGTATAATCTCTATGTATATGAAATTAATTAATAAAATTTAAAATTCAAATATTAATATATCATAGTAAATAAATAAAAAGGAAACAACTTCTATATTTAGCTATTTATTTTATAACATATTCTTGTTATTATTATTATTATTACATTAAATTCAATTGGTTTGATTTGATTGGATATAAATATATTAAGTATATGAAGTTAATTATATAAGTCTTGTCCTAAATAAAATTATCATCATTTATACTTCTAAAATCATGATATATAGTTATATGCCTCTTTAAACTATGTTTTGTAAAAGGATGAAGATAATAATTCATTGTTCAAACCCTCCTTAAAAATTTAAAATATTTTTTTTAAGTTTAAAATGTCAAATTGCAAGTTTCATAAACCAAACTTTGATTTTAAGGGGTTTAGCCTTTTACGAAAATCTTTTATTTTTATAAAATCAGAGTCAAATTTGTTTTGGGTTCAGCCACGTGATATCGTATATCCTTCGTTGAGCGACGCGCTGCTTCTCATTCAATCATGTCACTCCACGTGATACACCACTTTCAATAAGATTTACTTTAAGATAAAAAATTTCAGATTTCAAAATCAATTTTTTAATTATTCTTATAGTTTAATTTCTATATATTATTTCTGTTTCAAGAAAATGATAATTAATTGATATCATAACTTTCAAAAGTTAATTATAATTTTTCAAAATTTCCCCCATATGTCTGTCCCAACTTCCTCTATGTTATTATGATCATATCTTCCAGTGTATAAGGATATCTGGATCCATGTTGGAATATGATATGAACGAAATATATGTCCTTAGCAACTAGAGTAGGAAATAAGAGTCGGACCTGACAGGCCATCCATTTAAATCTATTTTTATAAGAGTTTGAATATGAAAAAAATGATATTTTTTACAAAAATTGGGTTTTGAAGCTCAATCCCGATAGACCATTTTTCGTTTTACCTCTAAAAAAAATTTATTTTTAAATTAAATTTAAACTTTAAATTATATATTTATACTTTAAAATTAAAATTTTTATTATTTATTTTTAATTTTTGAACATTATAATTCACATTTTTTAAAAATATAAAATAACATAATTGAAATTTTTAGTTTTTAAAAATACAAAAAAAGTAAAAAAAATAAAAAAAGCTTATGGGCTTAACTCTGAGGCATTTAAATAAGAGTCAAGCTTAAAAAGCTAATCATTTTAAAAAAAATTCAAGCTTAAAAACCTTAGTTCATAAGGCCAAGCCCATATGAATCAGGCTTGATCGTTTTTCACTTATATTTACAACAATTGGCATTAGTCCTGATAAAATGAGCTATGATAACTTAAGAATGATACTTCAAATTTAAGTTCGTCTAAATACAAAAAATATTTTTAAGATAGCTATCTCAATTGAACTTGACAAAATACTCAAATATGACTTTGTCATATAGCTACATAATAAAAAAAATATTTCTTATTTTTTGATAAAAAGAAATACGTAATTATAACATTATTAGCACATACATAATTATTAGTCATAGGAATTTTTGCACTATGGAAAAAAACGCTAAAGTAGTTTCCGCACACAATTTCTTATTTTCGGTATATCCGCACACATTTATGTTTTTGGACAAAACCTCCTTGCGGTCTAAGGCTCTTGGTGCACTCAATTATCAATTATCATTGTCGTTTCCGTGTGCGGTTTTTTTTTTTTTTTAATGCAACTATGCAATCCTTTTGCCAAAACATACAAAAACAGGCCGAAATGTTGGCTGATGTCCAACTCGTTGGCCCATTAGGCCCATTCATAGAATCCATGGAAAAACCCGTCATTACCGCCAACTAAGAGCTCGAACAGACCCATTCTTGTTTCCATATTCCATCATGGTTTGGGCCTCGGAGTGATGTCCAAGCCAGCTTTCGTCTACGTCTCAGTGCTCGTATATATATTTTTTAATTTTATATTTTTAATTTCTGCCGTGGTTCGTGTGTTCGACCTCGTGTAGCTCGTCCGTGGACCGTCGTGGTGGTTCGTCATCGAGCCGACAAGCCTTGACTTTGTGAGCTCGAGTTCCGTCCGACGTCTGTAGTGTGCTCATCATCTTCAGTGACTGGCATTTTCTTCCTCTCCTCTGCGTTGACGGCTTGATGCTGTCTCTTTCTCTACCTGAAATTTCTTTTATTTCTTGAAAAACTATAAAGCTGTATATAAGGAGGAGTAAGCAAAGCTCTCGTGTGCATCAACATGTATATATCTTAAATTGGTTAATGTTGGCTCTTATTTCTTTCGGTAACTTCAAAAAAAGCATAAGGCACTGAAGAACCTAAAATTTCCTTACAGAATAGGAAATGCATGATCATAATTTGCTTCGACTGCATTTTTGATAAATAACCTCTGAGCCTGACAGATTTATTTTTATTGTTTTTTAAATGAAAAGGCTTTGCAGTTTTTTTTTTTTTTTTGCAATAAATCCCGTGGCCGATTCAATGAAATACAATTATATTTCACTCTCAATTTCCTCAACAGAAAATCTAAGGTAGTATATGCATTGATGGATTTGGATTTGAATTTTATATCTAAAATATTGTATTTCAAATTTTACATTTAAAATTCATGTATTTAAAATTATTTGTTTGTGTAGTTTAAAAAAATTTAAATGAAAAAGAAATATGAAATGATATTTGAAATGAAAATTAAAAATTAAAAATGATGAATTTATTTTTATTTTGCAATTGATAAAAGATGAAAAAAAGATACAATAATCATGAAGGTCAATAGTAAAAACACGAAGAAAATAAAATATTTAAAGTAATTAAAATTTTAAATTACTAGAATATAAAGAAAATATGTGTCAAAATGAAGTGAGTCTATGTCAATCTTCGAGTACAATGGAAGTGCCCTAGTGGCTATGATGGGTAAGAACGTAACTGTGTATTCAGCTTCATCAGACTAATGCAACTGATTTCTAGAGGATATCCAAATTTCAAGACAAGCTTTTCATTGGTCTTTCTGCCGTCGCCACTAACGCCAAGACATTGTAGGAATAGTATCTCCTCCTCTCAATTTTCCCACTTGTTCTGGGCTTATTTATTTATTTTTAATTTTTTATTGCTGTTCGGTTCTACTTGAAGGTATTAATCGCCCATCTTGCGGCACAAGTTATACCAGCTTCGGGAAGAGAGGGATATATGAAGCCCGAGACATTTGCCAGCTTAGTCTCTGCTATTTGCCAATTTATTTTTCCATCAACTACAATTCTAGAACAACCTCCAAATATTAGACATACAAGTTTTTTATTTTTTAGAAACAAGTGGATTCCTTTCTTGCTCAAAACTTGTTCTTGTACTAGAACTACCAGAACTAATAGATTTCTTATATGTAGAGGCAGCTAATTTAATTACAGAGGCAAGTTCTTACATGTAAAAACAAATTAATTTTTTTAAAAAAAAACCACTTTTAACAACAGTTGAAACCATAA